TGTGTGTGTGTGTGTGTGTGTGTGTGTGTGTGTGTGTGTTGTGTGTGTGTGTGTGTGTGTGTGTGTGTGTTGTGTGTTGTGTTGTGTGTATTATGTATGTATGTATGTATATGTGTATGAATGTTTTTAAGTAAATAAGTTCGTAAATATGCATGTATGTAAATATGTAATCGATACATACATATGTATACATGTATATATGTGTATGCCCATTATATATATACACCAACCACCACAGACATAAACAGATAAAAAAAGAAAAAAAATCCCCTTATACTCTCAACCTCTATTAGCCATTCATTCATTCGCTCTTTCCTCTCTTGACCCGCAAACCAGGTCACGAGAGGTCACCACGCACCGCATCGACCTTACCCACGAATCAGCTGTTGTGTTTGCGTTGGGACTGTACCTGGAAAGAGACAAAGGTGTGGTTAGTGATAACGCTGTTAGTGAGAATAATATTAGTTGTAATAGTAATGGTAATGGAATAATGATAATTATAAAGATAATAATAATGATAGTGAAAATGATAATAAATCATATTGATAGTAATCACAATAATAATAAGAGCAATAACATTAATGATAATGATAATAATAATAATAGTAGTGACAGTAATCATAACAATAATGATGATAATAATAATAATGATAATGATAATAACAATGATAATAATAATAATAATAATAATAATAATAATAATAATAATAATAATAATAATAATAATAATAATAATGACAACAATGATAATAATAATAATGACAACAATGATAATAATACAATAATAACAATAATGATAATAATAATGATGATGATAACAACAACACCACAACAATACTCTGCTACTAATAAGGATATTAATGATAACAGTAATAATAGTAGCTATAATAATAATAATAGTAATAATACAATCATAAATGATAATAATAACAATAATAATAACAACAATATTAATAACAATATGATAAGAACAATAGCAATAATGATAACAACAACAGTAATAATAATAAAATAATAATAATAATAATAATAATAATAATAATAATAATAATATAATAATAATAATAATAATAACAATAATAACAAAAATAATAATATCAATATTAATATAAATAATAATAACAATGATGATGATGATGATAATAATAATAACAGTAACTGTAATAACTCTCTCCTCCCCCCCTTCTTTCTTTCTCTCTCTTCTCTCCCCTATCCTCTCTCTCTCTCTCTCTCTCCTCTCCTCTCTCCTCTCTCCCTCCCCCCCCTCTCCCTCTCTCCCTCCCCCCCCTCTCTCTCTCTTTCTCTCCCTCTCTCTCATTTCCCACACAGATATTTTGTGCGTGTACATCTTATTCACGACACCGTAAATAAAGACAATTTGCTACTTAGTAAATTCCCCATCATTTAACACCGGAAAACAAAGGGCCTTAACTTCACCATTATCATTATCATTACTATCACTATCACCATAATTTTTTCCTCAACAAGAAGAGTTCATGTGTTCGTATTACGTAACTGTCGTTTAAATCCGGGTTTTCTTCTTGACTTCGTGGGAGGAAGGGGAGGAGGGGGAGGAAGGGGAGGAAGGGAGGAAGGGGAGGGAAGGGGGGGAAGGGGAGGAAGGGAGGAAGGGGAGGAGGGGGAGGAAGGGGAGGAGGAGAGTTGGGGGTGGGGGGTAAAGAAGGAGAAGAGAGAAGAGGAAGAAGAGGAAAAGGAAGAAGGAGGGGAAGGAGAGGAAGAGGAGGAAGGAGAGGAAGAGGAGGAAGAAGGGGAAGAAGAAAAGGAAGGAAAAGATGATGAGGAAGA